AAAAGGTGAAAGAGTGAATTGGTACCAGCTTTAGTCATTTTTAGTCTCTTCCATCCCCACTTAAAATATTCCCTTCCCAATTAAAATATTGCTATTTTAATATTTGCTATGAAAAGGTCTAGAAACCCCAGGTGAGAACAGAGGCTGAGCACTGTGCATGGATAAAGTCTCTGCCCCAGAGAGCTTGATATTGAAATAAAAAAGATGGATAAATAGTAAAAAGGAAGACACACGGAACTGCATCAAGTCCATAGCAGAATGCAGCACAGAAATATCCTCTAAGTCCCATATCTCCTATGTCCCGCCCCAGAGTTTTAGCTACCAGCCTGAGAGTTCATCATCATCTCTGCTTTCATATGATCTGTCCATAAACCTACTCCAGAGCTGTTGTTGCACGTTCCAGCTGTAAAGAAAGCTTTGTTTGCAAGCTTTGACTCTTAGTTTTTTGGAAAGACCACGTCAAGATACTACTTCGTAAAATTCAGTTAAAAAGATTTCCCCATCTCCTGAGCACAGGCTCCTGGCCAGCGGTCCATTAGCCAAAAAGTCTTGGTGTTGCATATTCTTCCCATGATTGGTGATGTTTTAATCTTTGTTGACACAGCCTTGCTTTGAGGAACCATTGGGTTGGATGCTGGGTATTCCAACAAGAATCCCACCCAGAGGAATCTGTCACCTGTAGGTCTTGCGGAGTTTTAGGTTTCGTTCTGGGACACTCACAAAGTTCCTTGTTTACCCTAGCGATGAGGTAAGGTAGGAAATTTGGAACAAGGTGTTGCCTAGCAAAAGCAGGCTCCTGTTGTCCAGAGAAAGGTAAGGCTGGGCAGCAGAGGGAAGTCAAGAGCTCCTCACGTTTAATCGCTGAACCTCAAGACCCCAAAAACGTTGTCATTGGGAAGAGAATTTTCATTCAAGAACTTAGGATGATTGAGTGTTACTGAAACTCGGTCCTCCACGTTCAGGTATGTCAAATGGAGCTGTAACAAGGTCTTAAAAGTCTTTTCTGGGCACGTTTCTGAGGCGCACCACGTGGATAACGTTTGCCTGTTGACTTTGTCGTTCACCAGGAATTCTATCTTGAGGTCGGTGGGGCTGTTTGGACAGCTGGAGAAATGAAAGTTCAAGTGGCAATAAATCAAGTAGAGGCCTTTTTTACTGATCACCAGCTCTTCGCTCTTGCACTGGATGTCTTCACAAACACCTTTCCCAAACAATCTCAGTTTTGAACTGTTTACTGGTTTGGACACTAGAAGGGAAAGCAAACAAGTTTTAAAATGAGCTCTAGTGACCTGAACTTGGCCTTATGTGAGTGAGACACAACACAGCAACGTAGTTCCTGCTAAATGGAAAGACCTGCTCAGTGGTTTTGCTGCAGGAAGCTCCAAGAAAAGGCCCTGGCCACATCTTGGGAGTTCCCACATGGAAGTGGGGTGTTAAAGAGTTCCAAGGACTCACACAGCCCTTGGAAAGGACTGGAAGGTGCAGTGAAAATGTCCTTCCACGGTATTTGAAGGGAAATAATGGAGATCTGTAGTCATCTGGTTGTGTGCAGAAGGAATAGTTATTTTTTCTTACCAATTTAAAAGTTAAAATCTGATCAGAGTTTATGTGATCAGACGGGGAGTTGACCAAACACACCCACGTTTCAGGAAATCTTAGGGATTTTTTTTCCCTATAAAACGCCCATTTGGTCAAAAAGCTATTTGTCACTAAAATGAGTAGTGATAAGACACACAGACTGCTCTTCAGCCAGCTCTGCAGCCTCTCTTGGCAGACTCTTGCCCTCCATGGGGCTCCCCACTGACCTCTCATGTACGCCGCAGCTCCCTTGGCCGAGACATTCTGTAGGATTCTTATGTAGTCTTCAGAGGTGTTCCCTGGAGGAAACAACAGATTCAGTCACCACTCATGTGGTTTTTTTTTTGTACTGTGAAATTCTGTCAGCATCTGGCACCTCACTTATTAACTCTGCCATGCACAGCAGCAGCTCCAAAGCAACAAGCAGCAGCAGTTAGAACAGCGGGTAGGAGAGCTGGTTCCTGCTCCTTGGTGGATAATATATGGTCTGCACAGGGAATTCCTGGCAGTGTGACTCAATTGGTAAATTTATAATGCTCTAAAGTTCTGGAAGATTGCAGCTATCAGTCAAAAAAAAAATTATACTAATTCTCCCTCTGAAAAATAGAAATTGTGTGCAGGTAAGCTTGAGTTAATCAAATTATTTGCGGAGGGCAATTACAGGAGAGAAACTTTGAAACATTTAACTGGAGCATAGTTCTGGAAGTGGCTCTTTGGGTGCCTTTGAAACGTCTCTTGGTTCTCTCACGGTTAAAATGTGGAGTCGCCAGGGCTTTGGGTGAGATTGCGGCTGTTCAGCCCCAAAGGAGGGGCTAGAAGAGGGGGACAGCGCTGGTGCTGGCGGGGAAAGGGCAGGCACCCCGCAGGCAGCCCGGCTCCGTGTGTCACGGGAATGT